AAAGAAAGAAAAGAAAATCACCTCAGATTCTACAGACATCAAAAAGCTAACTAAATAACATTATGACAATAAATTTAATAATAAATAAAATGGACAAATTCCATGAAAAACAAACCTCAAGAAAGCTAACAGAGATTAAATAAAATCTGCATACCTCTAAAGAAGCTCTAGTGTCATAGTGCCTAAGGTATTTGACTGCTAACCAGAAGGCTGGCGGTTCAAACCCACAAACCACTCCTCGGGAGAAAGACTGGGCAATCTACTTCCATAGAGCTACCACCTCAGAAACCCAAGGAGGGGTCGTTATACCTCTACAACAATCAAAATATTAAATTTATTGTGATTAACTCCAATACACACATACAAACAATTCAAGTCCAGATGGTGCTACTAGCAAATTCTATCAAACCTTTAAGGAGGGAAAAAAAAAAAAATAACCTACATAAAATCTCTCAAGCAATAGAGAAAAAACAAGCACCTACCTCAATTCATTTTATATGACAAGCATAACCCTAATGTCAAAATCTGAAAAAGTTATTATAAAAAATAAAACTGTCAGCCAAAATTCACCATAAATAAATATGTAAAAACAGTTAGCAAAACATTAACAAACCTAATAGAACAGTATCTCCAAAGGATAGTAAATCATGACCATATGGGACTTATCTCAGGAATGACTAAAAGTTTGGAAAAAATCAAAGTAAACCACCCAATTAACAGAAACAAAGAGTGAACCCATAGATCATTTCCACAGATGCAAAAACAAAGCATACGACAAAATTCAGTACCTTTTAATAATTAATTTTTAGAAATCTCGGCAAACTAGTGATAGAAGACAATTTCCTCAACCAGAAAAAGTACACCTACGAAAACTTACAACTAACATCATAATTAACGGTCAAACATTGAATCCTTTCTCCTTCAGGAATAAGGCAAAGACGTACAATCTTGTGACACTTATTCAGGATAGTACAAGAGATGCAGAATACCTAGTGCAAGCTTAGTGAGTCAAGATAAAGGATTAAAAGGCATAAAGTCTGGAAAATAAAATAGGAAACTATCTCTATTCCAGACAACACATTGTCTATGTAATAAAACTAAGAAAGTAGCAGCCAAAACAACAACAAAAAATAGATTATTTAAAAATAATAAATGAACTTAATAGGAGTCAGGAAATAAAAGGCTGATTCAAAAAGCAACTATATATCTACATATTAGGAGCATCCTACTGGAATATAAAATTTTAAAAACATTATTTACTATAGTGTCAAAAAAACATGAAATACTTGAGAATAAATGTAAGAATTGCACACTAAAATTGCAAAACATTCTTGAGAAAATTAAAATAGACCTTTAAAAACAAAAAAATAGTTGTTCATGAATTGCCAGATTCAATTTTGTTAAGATGTCAAAAACAAACAACCAAACTTACTGCCATCAAGTTGATTCCAACTCATAGTGATCCCTCCTTTGGGTTTCCGAGGCAGTAAATCTTTATGGTAGTAGATTGCCCAGTTTTCCTTCTGCAGAGCGGCTGGTGGGTTTGAACCGCCAACCTTTTGATTACCAATCAAAAGCCTTAGATGTCAGCCCTCCCAAAACGGATCTATAAACTCAATTAAATAGTAATGGGTGTTTATGGAACAAGTAGATAGTACTAAAATGTATATAGCTAAAACAATCTTGAATATAATGTTAGAGAATTTACACTCAATCTTTATTACATACTCTAAATTTCATAATATGAAGCTAAAAGAATCAAGGGTATTGACATAAGAACACGGAAACAAATGAAAGAAAATAGCAGCAACGGATCTACCTTTGTACAGTCAACTAACTTTTTTGACAGAGGTGCTAACATAATTCAATAAAAATAGCATTTTCAAAAATGGTGCTGAGAAATATACTAAAAAGAAAATGAACCTTGACACATGACTCATAAAACACAAAAATCAATACCAGATGGATCATAAACCTAAGTAGGAAAGATTTTAAAAAATAAATAAATTATAAAATATAGAAAAATATCTTCATGAGGTGGTGTTGTTGTTGTTATGTGCTGTCGAGTCGGGCCCGTTTCATAGCAACCCCTCCTTGGGTTTCCAAGGCAGTATCACTACAGAAGTAAATTGCCCAACCTTTCTTCCGAGGAGTGGCTAATGGGTTTGAACTAGCAGCCTTCCAGTTAGCAGTCTAACTTAGGTAAGAATACTTATGTAAGAAAATATCTCTTAAAAGGAACACAAAAAGCACTAATCATTTTTTTTTAAAAAAAAAAAAGGCATAATTAATTGAACTTCATTAAAACTAGAACTTCTTTTCAAGATAAGATCCATCAAAAGAAAGGAAAGCTACTTTATTTAATACACAGAGACACATATATAACTCTACCAAAGGCCTTGTATGCATGATATGTAAAGAACTACACACCAATTAAGTCAGACAACCCACTCACCCACTCCCACTACTCCATCTCCATAATGTACACTTCACAAATAATAATTAAGTGATTTGAAAATGGACTCAACTTTTAAAAAACCAAAGCGCACTGCCACTGAGTATATTCTGACTCATAGCAAAACAATAGGACAGAGTAGAACTGCCCCTTAGGGTTTCTAAGGCTATAAATCTTTATGAAAGTAGGCTGCCTCATTTTTCTCCCTTGGAACAGCTGGGTTCGAACTGTCACCCTTCTGGTTAACACCCAAATGCCTTAACCACTGCACCACCAGAGCTCCTTAAGAATCATTAGTGAACACAAAATGAAATCACAACACAATACCACAATACATTCACAAAGAAATAAAAAAAGGCTAAAGTAAAAAAAGACAACCATAACTGTTGAGAAGGTTGTGGAGAAACAGAAACTTTTATATACTGTTTTTGGGAGTATAAATTGGTAATCACTTGGAGAATTATTTTGCACTATCTACCTACACCTATCCTGTGACCCAGCAATTCCACTCCTAAGTATACAACAAACATAAATGAGCACTTACATCCCCCAAAACACATATACAAGAATGTTCATAGATGTGTAATTCAAATGGCCAGATAAATAACTGGTGGTATATTCCTAGAAAGTATACTGTTAACCAATAAAGAACAAGGATGAATTATACAAAAAGAATGTTGACCAAAAAAAGGCCAGAAACTGAAGAATATTACTATTATTCTGTATAGTTTCTATGATGTTCTCAAATCATATAATGTATGTCACTATTATACTTTTCAAAATCCATAATATATAAGCATTCATAATATGAACTTAGAAATATGTCTATCTTTGTGAGGGTCTCTAACATTAACTATAAATTCTGAGAAACCTTTAAGTCATTATAAAGTTATATGTAGAAAATTTGTGACCTTTGATATAGAAACAAAGAAGTATGCTAAGAAGTTGATTGTGATTCAGAATGCTGTGATAAAAGAAAACATAACATAATTAATTTTTGTTAACTAGCCTGGAGACATAAATCTAAACAGCCTAACTAATCTCTAACCTTGAGGAAAAGATGTGACAGTCAGTTAATCTCTAACCCTGTAGAGAAGACATAACTACTAGTCTTTGACATCACACTTTTTATGTGATGCTAACATGAGAAATGCACATATAAACCCTGAATTTCTGCTCATTCCCTGAAAGAAGGCAGAGATAGAACCTCCTTCTAGAGTCTGATGCTCTCAGAAGACTGGGACACTAGAATGAGATTCTGTCCACTGCCACTGACCAAAGAACCTAGCTACAAGGGACCTCTGCCAAGTTTAAGCTGTGGCCAAGCCTCTCTCCCAAGACCACTCATAAAAGGTAAAAGCCTGAAATCTAAAGATTTGCACTCTAACCGCTAAATGAACATTGTAATTTTAATTGTTAATTCTGATTCTCCACTTCTAAGTGAATATTGTGAGGTCTCACTTGCATGCCTTAATATGACAACTTTGCAATAAACTAAATGAATTTATGTATGACAAACTTGAGTAAACTTAGCCTTAAATAAATGCAAGGATATACCATGTCTATGGTTTGACAAACTCAATATTGTTAAGATGTCAGTTATTCACAAATTAATCTCTAGTTTCACGGCAACCCCTATTAAACTAACAGCAGGGTGTGTGTATGTGTGTGTGGTGTATGTATGTTTGAGTAAGTGAAAACTGAAATACTAATTCTAAAATTATATGAAAATAAAAAGAACCAATAACAAAGGACAAGAAAGAAGAGTAAAAGGAAATAGAAAAGACAGAGGAAGAGGGAGGGAAAGGAGGAGTAAGTTAGAGAACATTCATCACCACATATCATGACCTCTTATGAAACTAGAATTAAGATAATGTGGTAGTGGAATAAAGGTGAGACAAACAGACCAATGGAACAAAAGAGAAAGTCCAGAACATACTCATTCCATATGTAGAAACAGAGAAACACTTTAGAAAAATATTCCACGAATAATTATCTCATTTAAAACTGTAAAATATTTCCTGACCAACCAAATCAATTACAAAAGCAAGTATGTCATATTTCAGAGAAACTCTCATGTGGGCTGTATGAAATAGCTTCTAAAATATTTCACATGCCTTCTATAAAATCTTTCTCTCTTACCTCCCCAAAAGCTCCTCGACCAATCACCTTTAATATTTCAAAGTCTTCTCTATGTAATCGCATCTGTTTCACTTTAGAAGTAAATGGTTTAGCTGAAAAAAAAAGAGAAAGAGGAACTACTTACTTCTTAATGTGATGAAATAAAAATTCAAATTATAATTAAGCCAAATAAATCTTTAAAAACCTCATGAAATGAGGTTTCTATGCTCAGAAGAAATAAATTCAATTTCCATTACAAAATGATACATTCTTCAAGATGTAGTACATTTTTTGTGAGAAATATATTTTTAAATAGCAAATAACATGAAACAATGCAGAGCAGCATGGACACAAAAATAAGACTAGTTTATTCTCATGTTAAACAGCCTATGTATTCTATCAATGTAAGATACATATCTTTAACATGCAAGTCCTAGAAGTAAAACCAAATTTCATGCAGCCAAAGAGGACTTCAGCAATTCTTACCTACTAGATAAATATTTATTTCATAATCATTCATTCATTTGTTCTTTCAAGATGCCTTTAGCAAGAGTCTACACTATTTTAAAAAAAAAAGAATCTACACTATATAAAGAATAGTAAAAATCACTGGAGTTTAAGGGGGAAATAAGATGATTCTTGCATAGTACACTGCCTTTCAAGTACCTCTCACTCTCTAGGAAGACAGACCAGTACAGGCATGCCCTATTTCCTGAGGCATACCGCTAAACCATTGGAATTTCTGAGTAACTGAAGTATCTTTGCTAATCTAAGGAGCTCTGGTGGTGTAGTGCCTAAGGCATCTGACTGCTAACCAGAAGGCTGGCAGCTCAAACCCACCAGCCACTCCTTGGAAGGAAAAACAGGCAATCTACTTCTATAGAGATACCTCTTCGGAAACCCAAGGAAGGGTTGCTATGAGTCGGATCCGACTCTAGGGCAGTGAGTTTGGTTTTTCTAATCTAAGCAACACCTGAGGACTCTTGCTAATGATGGGGGCTGACCAGACCAAAAATCAAAAAACTAAACTCACTGCCTTAGAGTCAGATTCAACTCAGTTACCTCTCCCTGGGTTTCTGAGGCAGTATCACTAAGGTAGTAGATTGCCCAATCTTCCTTCTAAGGAGTGGCTGCTGGGTTTGAATTGCCAGCCTTCTAGTTAGCAGTCAAATGCCTTAGGCACTATGCTACCAGAGCTCCCAGACCAGAAAGACCAATTAATATCAACTAACCTAAGGAGGCATGATTTAGCCTATCTTGTATATGCAATGATAT